TCAGCCCCAGGGGCAGCCCTCCCAGGCTGCAGAGCCCCAAACTCTCTGGCATCTTGTGAGCTGTCTCTTCACAGCCCCAGGCTGGGGCATACAGATGTTGCAGAATTGGCAGAAACAGGACAGTGGGGGTCAGCGTGGGGTGCACCCACCCCTCTCCCAGGCCCTCCCGGGCTCCTGTGCATCCTGCCCCTGCCTACCTGGCCCAGGTGAGCAGCTCCTCCTGGTCTCTGCCACACGCCATGCACCGCCCTGGTTGCCTCCATGGTTTGGAGTGTTTCCCTCCTGGGGAGGCGCCTCCCACACCCTGAAGCCCTCTGCTCCCCCCAGGGTCACATGAGACTGTCCCCAGGTGGCAGGTGGTGGTTTTCTCTGGCACCCCCACAGACGCCTCAGGCCCCCGCATGCCAGACCCATGGAGACAGGATCTTCTGCACTCTTCTTCCCGTGGGCACCTGCCGCCCCGTCCACACATGAACGGTTCCAGGTGTAAAGGCTGGCTCTTCTAGCTGGAATTTCCTTGACTACACTGTCTTATTTAGATCCGGAGCGGGATTAGTGAAATAAACAGGCAGGTTTGGGCAGGACGGAGATCAGGTCTCCCAGCCAAGGGGAGGCCACAGCCGGCGCTCCATCTGCCTGGGGCTTCAGGGTTCAGGGGCACAGGGTACAGCACCTGCTGGGAGGCTGCTCAGAGGCTGGGAGGCTGCTCAGAGGCTGGGCCTGCACGCCCAGCTTCTGTGGTGTTGCTGCACGCAGGTTTCGTCTCTTCTTCTGAATGTTTCCGTATGCATGTGGATGATTGGCATTCCCTCTCAATATCCACACGCAGTGGTGCAGGGGCATGCAGTCTAGAGTCGCCTCTCCTCCTCTGCTTTCCCCCCCACCTCCCTTCCTTCCCCCCCACCACCCCCGCCCCCTCCTCTGTCTTCCTCCCCCTTCCACTGCCTTTCCCGCCCCTTCCCTCCCGCATCCTGCCTCCCCCAGCCCTCCCCCATTCTCCTTCCCCCGCACCTGTTGCCTCTCCCACCTTCCCCTCATGTTTCTCCCTCTCCTCTCCTGGTCTCCACAGTCCCAACTGCACCTGCGTTGGGCACCCTTTCTGGGTCCCAGCACCCGACGTTCATTTTATTTCTTGGTTACATTGGCCAGCGCACTCTCTGTTCCTGTTATTTTCTTTTAAGGAACTACCTTTTGGATCTAAAAAGTCAAGTTTCAGTTGCTTTCCAAGCAATTATTTCTGCTTTTCTCATTAGTTTTTCATTCCCCGGTTGGTTTTGTTGTTCCTTTTCTGTTCTAGTTTCTGAGTTCACTGCTGTGTTCCTTTGATTTGATAAATAAAAGTAGGCATGATAAATCATTTAGTAATTCATTCCTCTCAGCGGCGGCTTTGACCAGGCCTGTGGGCGCGTCCCCACGCTTGCCGTCAGCCTCTACCTAGGACATGATTTTTGCCTGATTTCCTTTTAGACTCAGGACTCATTTGAGGGATGATTAAAACGTTTCCAGTGGCCAGATGTTGTTGTGTTTGTTGGTTTCGTTAATATGTCGTTTTATAAAGTTAAGGTCAAAGAATGTGGCCTGAGCAGCTTTTCATTTGTGAAATTGTTTTGAGCTTCGACGTGTGGCTTGGTTTTGGGTTACGTTTTAAACTTGCTCCTGGGCTTTCGAAAAAAAATGCATCTTTTCTATGCACGATGTGTTTCACATGAAAAATAAAATCTAAATAAATTGCAGACATTGGGATTTCGGCCTTATAGCCTCATTCATGCATTTTCTGGGGTACCTGTCAAGTCTGCCAGAGCCAAGGTCCCCTCCGTGACTGCGGTTCGTGCCTCCTGTGTGTTCACAATGTCTGCTTTACATCCACGCTTCAGGGCAGTGTGGAGATGGACCCATTCCCTGCATGTTCTGCTGCCACGCTGGCCGGAGACCCTCGGCTTCCTGCACGTCAGGTGCGTCCCTCAGAGCAGCGGTGGAGTTTGCTTCTCTACGAAAGGTGTCTGCCCCAAGTGCCTGACCCACGGTCCTCGCCGCTCCATGAGGCTGGCTGTGTGGGGGGACTGACAGTATCCCCAAGAGGTGACAGTGATGACCCCAGGGAGCTGGCCTGGGCACCCCTGGACCAGAGAGACCTGCCACGCGCCAAGGGAGAGGCTGGGCTGCTGGGGCCGCGTCTGTGTCCACCCAGGGCAGCAGCCTCCTGACCTCAGGACCTCCCTCCCTGCCTGAGCAGCGGCGGTCAGGCTGGTCCAGCTCTCACGAGCCCCCAGGAGAAGAGCAGAACTCCCCTCCTGTCTGCTCCAGGGAGGCCCACAGGCTGTGCCACCAGCCGGCAGTGTGCACACTGGTGGCTATTTGGTCAGGGAGCCCCAGGGAGAGCCCTAGGGAGAGCCAATGGGGAGAACCACACCCACCTGCAGCCTCAGCCAGTCCAGGACTGGCAGCTCTCGAGGGTACAGAGACGCCCTGTTCCTGCCCAGGCCCAGGTCTTGGGACCACGTGGAGGAAGGACAAGTGCGTGCTATAATCCAAAGTCACCTGCAGAGCAGACGGCCTCTCAACCAGAACAGGGCACCCGGGTCAGCCCCAGTCCCAGCAGGGAGAGGCCGGGCCCAGCAGAGTGGGGCGGGTCTCAGCAGAGAGAGGCAGGTCCCAGTGGAGTGCAGAGGTCTCAGCCAGGCCCTGGGTGTGGTCCTGGACCCCTAATACAGGGCCACTAGTCCTACCTGACACGGTTTCGTGGTCTGTGGGCTGGCTGGCCCTTCCACCCTGTCCCTGCATTTGTGCGGATAGGGAGACAGTGCACAAAACACACAATGACTGTGTGCTAAAATCCACAGTCACCAGCAGAGCGGACGGCCTCTCGCCCAGAACAGGACACCCATGGCAGCGCCAGCCCCAGCTCTCCCTGGGGCCCCCTGTGCTCACTTTTACACAAGACCTCACACAATGGAAGCTCTTCCTCCTGGCAAATCGCAGGGGGCAGACTCCTCACGTTTAAGGCGCCTGTGCTCACAGCACCGTGAGCTTCCACTATCTCGCTCGCCTGGAGGACTCAGCACCAATGCTGAGAAGAAATAAGAGTCTGCTCCCATCCCACCCCAGCCCTGTGCCTTCCCACCCCAGCAAGCAGGTGGCCAGGCGCAGGGCTGGGGTGGGACAGAAGCAGGTGGCCAGGCGCAGGGCTGGGGTGGGATGGGAGCAGGTGGCCAGGTGCAGGGCTGGGGTGGGATGGGAGCAGGTGGCTAGGCGCAGGCCTGGGGCAGGATGGGAACGGGGCCCTGCTGGAGGCTGGGGCGGGAGGGCTGGGGCCTCTGCAGCCGTGGGTGCTGTTTATAAGCAGGGCTGGGGCTGGGTCCTGCGCTGGAGGCTCTACTGGTCCTGCCAGGTGCGGTGGCCCGCACATCCCTCCCACCGGCCTGTGGGGAGGGGCCGCCGACCTTTAGGATCTGTGCGAGGGTCATGGTGGACATGACCCTTGGACATGGCATCAAGGACATGACCGACATCCTCCAGGCCACATCCTCCAGCCCACGAGGGTTTCCTAGAATAAAGTCCAGAGGGCCCCGGGGGCGGCGGCAGCTCAACCCAGCCCATCACAGCCCCAGGCCTTGCTGCTATTTTGTTTTGTTTTGTTTTGTTTTGTTTTGTTTTGTTTTGTTTTGTTTTGTGGTAAAAGAGACATAGAACGTACCACGTTAACCATTTTTACCCGCACACATCAATGGCACTAAGGACATTCACAGTGTTGTGCGGCTGTCACCCCCATCTGCCCAGGTCACACTCACCCCCTACCCCCGTACCCCCATCCCACTTTCTGGGCGGGGTTTGGCGCTGTGGGGCCTCTAAGCGGAAGCACGGACAGGGGGCGTCCTCTGTGCCTGGCTAGGCGCGCTGAACACAGGGCAGGGCGGCGGGAACTTCCTTCCAGGCTGGCGGTACTCCCTAGGAACCTCTCCACATTTGATTTTTCATCCATTCATGGTTGCACATTTGGGACTTTCTGCTTGGCTGTGGTGACTGAAGCTGCTGCGCTGTCATTTTTACTATTATTGTTATGACAAGTTGTCAAGTGAACCTTCCTCTTAGTATTTGGATTCCCCCTTTTTTTTGAGACGGAGTTTTGCTTTTGTTGCCCAGGCAGGCTGGAGTGCAATGGTGTGACCTCGGCTCACTGCATCCTCTGCCTACTGGGTTCAAGCGATTCTCCTGCCTCAGTCTCCCGAGTAGCTGGAATTACAGGCGCCCACCACCACACCCAGCTAATTTTGTGTTTTTAGTAGAGACGGGGGTTTCTCCATGTTGGTCAGGCTGGACGCGAACTCCCGACCTCAGGTGATCCGCCCGCCCGCCTTGGCCTCCCAAAGTGTTGGGATTACAGGCTGAGCCACGGCGCCCGGCCGGGCCGTGTTTTTCCCATTGTATTTGCTTTTAACTGTCGAGATTCACCGAATCCCAGCAGCGGGCCCTGTTCGCTGCTTCAGTAGCGAGGCCTCGCAGTCTCCGCAGAAGCAGCCCCTGCGATGACATCAGGACCTCAGGTCCGTTTCCTGGGTTGATGTTTCCAGAACCCGCGCCCTGTTACAGGAGCGCCTCTGGGTCACGCGTGGGGCCGCCCCGTCTGCGCCCTGGATGCCTCGGTTTCCGCAGCGCCAGGCTGCTGGGACCGCAGCGCGGGGACTGGCCACCAGGGGGCGAGCGGCTCCCGCAGCCTCGCAGTGCCTGGGCGGTGCCGGGGGCGGTGCCGGGGCGGGACAAGGGGCGGGGCCGCGGGCGGGACAGGGACGGCGCGGCGGGGGGTGCGGGGGGTGCGGGGTGCGGTGCGGGGCGGGGCCGCGTGGGGGCACAGGGGGCGGCGCGGTTTGCAGGGAGCCGGGGCGGTGGGGGCGCAGTGGGAACGGGGCGGGGGCGGTGGGGAGTGGAGGTTACATGGGCGGCGGCGGGGGCGGAGGCTGTGGGAGGTCAGGGGGAAAGGGGGGGCGGGCTTGCGCGGCGGCGTCCCGGGGCTCAGGGGCTGCAGCAGACCCACCGTCCTGGCCTGTGAAGCCCGCGCGGCCGTGGGACGATGGAGGGTGGCGGCCCGCGTGGGCAGCGCCTGAGGCTGGCGCGGGGCCTGGGACCGAAGCCTCCGGGTCAGAGTGTGCCCCACGCGGACGGCGGGCGCTGGCAGAAAGTGACTCATGCAGAGTTTCACGAGAGCCGAGGGGCCCAGCGAGTCAGCACCCACCGCTTTCCGCGCCGCCATGTGGGTCCTGGAGGTGCCGGGAGGGGGCCTCGGACCTTGAAGCTGGATCCACCACGCGGTGCCCGCGGGCCCGTGAGTGACATCACCGCGACGCTGCGCCTGGACCGAGGTCTGCACGCCCCGAATGGCCACGGACAGTCGCTCCCATCAGGTTTCCAGGAAGACCTCCCTACCCAGCTCTGGGTGGCCCTGACCTGACCTGGGCTTTGCCTGGGGCCCTCAGAGCTGACCACAGACAGTGTGAGGCGGGGAGGAGGGTGACCAGCCTAGGTCTCCAGCCAGACAGGACCACTGAGGCTAGAGGGCCGGCCTGCTGTGGTCAGCCACTGCATCCCCAGGGCCACACAGGGCAAGGCCATTCCAGGCCACTGTGGCCCAGCCCCCACCTGAGCCTGGGAGCTGGATGCTGGTGCAGTCTCAGGCCGGGGTTCGCCTCCCACCTCCCATCAGTCCTGGCTTGGGTTGTTGGGGGACAGATGGGAGGAGCATGTGGCAGTGGGGCCAGGGAGCACTCTGGCACTTCCACTCTCCTCCTGTATGCAGAATCCCCACACCCGGGACCACCTCTGAAGGCTGAGATCATAGGTCAAAGCCAAGAACAGAAGCTGGGGTGGGGCACACAGCTGAAAAGAGGGGCCTGAGCATCCAGGTGGCCACCAGCAGGGGCCCCTTCAGGCCACAACGATGCTCCCGTCGGGGTCCCCGGAAGAGGGTGGCTACAGCCACCTGGGGGATGACTCCAGCAGAAGTCCTCTCAGTCTGCGGTCCGGGAAGACCCAAGACTCCTAAGCTGGGCACATCAACATCTCCACCTCAGCCGAAGACAGAAAGACCAGGCCCACCCAAGACTGCAAGCTCCGGCCTGGGGCAGCAGGGCCTGTGAGGGCTGAGGGTGGACTGAGCCAGGCCTGACCATCAGCAGCTCGTCCCCCACCTCGGGTCCCCACCAGCACCCCGCTGTGGCCTTGGGTTTTTGATGCTTCCAACTTTTAAAGAGAAGGTTGAAATCTGTAATTCTTATGTGAAACCCTGTTTTTCTTAGCTAATTAAAGACTTAGAATTAGCTAGTTAAAATTAATTAAAATTGATTAAATTTGTGCTAATTAAAACTAACTGAATTCTTCTCAAAACACCGTGCAGACTAAACTAGCCAGAGACGCACCTGTCTGCAGCTGTGGCTCCACGCGGCGGGTGGCGGGGCCAGGGACGGGGCAGAGCTGCGGCAGACGGGGTGACAGAAAAGGACGGTGTCCAGGGCTCTGTGGCTGATCTGAGTTTCTGTTGCACCAAAGTATTTTAAATGTTCTCCCACTTCCCCTGTGAGATCTTGGATGGAGAGAATCGGGTGGAGGGTGTGTGGGAGACCTATGCCCAGGGCTTCCTGGGGGCCCTGCAATGCAGCCGGCCTGCATGCGTCTCCTGGGATGGTGCCTCAGGCACCTGGCTGCTCCGAGAGGCCTCTGGACACAACATGGCCTTCCCTGGACCCAGCCCTGGCCTGGTCGCTGCCCTGGTGCCAGAGCTGGGCACCAGCCACCGCCTCCCCATGTGTCAGCTCCTTGTACGATGGTGCCCGCCGCGTGGAGCTACCCAGGACTCAGGAATAATGGAGCTGGAGGCTGCACCTTGGGACTTCTGGAGCCCTGGCAGCAGGGAGGGATGTGGGGTAGAGAACCTGAGGCCAGTGCACTGGGGCTCAGAGAGCACGCCTGGGGGATGGGTCTTCCCTATCAGTGGAGCCAGACCTTGGCCTCGTGACACCTTGGAGTCCCTGGCACATTCTCCTGTGGCTTCTCTTTCGCTCTGGGTGAACCAGGTGCTGGCCTGCGCCCTGTGGCCCCCACCTGGCACTGAGCCCTGGGCCCTGCACACCTTGCTGGTAGTCTCTGACAGAGACGGGTGGGCCTGAGGCTGCTGGGGCATGATGCTCTGACGGAAGCATGCCACCCCAGCAGCAGCCCTGGAGCAGTTCGTGGCCAGAGCAGAGATCGAGGGCTGAGGGTTTGTGTGGTCACCAGGACTGGGGTGCAGGGCCCCAAAACAAGGCCACTCACTGCCCAGAATTGGGCAGAGGGGATACTCCGGAGCCTCCACCCTCCACCCCCACTCCGAAAGTGTGCCTCCCTGGGCCCCTGTTCTGGGCTTTGGTGACCCTTGGGGATGGTAGTGAGGAGCTTGTCCTGGCTCAGGCAGAGCCCTCTGCTGAACTAACAGCACCAATGCAGCCCAGGTGGCCGTGGATGGGAAAGTGGGGTGTGGGGGTGGCCGTGTCCTCAGCACTCGGACCTGAGCACAGGGCAGGGTGATGGGGAGTGTCCGTGTGATGCCCACACTTGCCTCCCACGTCTCTGAAGGATGGGAATCATTCCTGTTTGAACATGAGCTCCATTCCTTGGAGGGCATGACAGTGTGGCTATCTATTTGGGGACATTTTTAGGGTTGTGCCATCAAAGGCAACCTGTGCCAAGTGGCTCTGTATTCAGACAGCTGTGGCCCTGTCTCCCAACCTGGTCCTGGTGGTTGAAACGTCGTGTGCTGGTGAGAGACTGGAAGCGGGCTCTGAAAGCCCTTCAGGACCAAGGGTCTCCTGGACTGCGCAGGGCTGGCGAAGACCAAGCCAGACAAGCGCACGGTGCCTGGCATCTGCGGCAACAGACTGAGACCCCCAAACCTGGGCGGGCCACAGCTGGCTGGACCTCAGCTGGGCTCAGACGTGCTGGCTCTGCAGCCTGGCCCCAGGGTGTGGGCCTGCAGCTCTGGCTGCTGAGAAATCCTGAGCGAGCCCTCCAACCTTTGAAGGGGGAAGGGTTCGCCACATTATCACTGCAGTGGGACCCCCTGAGAACCCGGGAAGGTAGTGATGCCACAGAAGGGGTGCTGGCCAGCGAGGCCTGGGGGTCCTCCCTGGGATGCAGCAGGCTTGGTGTCGTGACCAGGCTGCAGAGGCTGCTGCTGCTTCTGTGCATGCGGCCAGCGTGACGAGGTCAGCTCCAAAACTAAACGTGTGGGAAGTTAGCTTTTGGTCTGAGTGAGGGCAGGCATGGGGAGGGAGGGAGTTGCTGCAGGAGCTCCGCGGCCGGGCATCTGAGTCCGGCCAGGCCTGTTCCCTGGGCAGCACGGAGCACGGCTGCCTGGTTGCTTAGAACAAGATGGAGCTGTGTTCACATTTCTCAGCACACAGGAAGACAAATTTCAGTTAAATTGAATTTTCACGTGGAAGTCAGTAATTACATAAGTTTGGGGATATCAGTGGCAGAAATCACAAACAAAAAGGCGGGTAGACACGCTTGCATCCAGCCGAAGAACATCTTCAAGTCAAAAAGCACCACAGAGAACTGCCAGCCCCTCAGCCGTGTGCGAATGGCGCAACGTGGAGGCAGGGTGAGCGTTCCGGTCCCAGGCCCATCAGGGCGTCGCCGGCGCCTGTGTGTTTAGGTGGGTGAGGTGTCGCCATGTGCCAAGGTGGAGATGAACACACATGCTCAGGACGGCTGGGATGCAGGCGAGTCCCCCCATGGGGCCAACAGCAGGACTGGGGTGCTGCAGAGACCACAGGAATGCGGTGTCCCCAGGCTCCAACTTACAAAGATTTGCTGAGATTCACCTATTGTTTTCCAGTTGTTTTTCGGTCTTTATTTTATGGAGGCCCCTGCAGGTACTTGCAGATTCTGATTTCCAGCTCTGTCCAGGTAGCATCCCGCCAAACGTGGAGCCGGTGCGTGCCGATGGACCTCCTGACGTGGGGCCACGCCTGCGCGCCAAGCGTTTCTCTCACCTCTTGGAGGTGGCTCTTCATCGGCACACGTGGATCCCAGAGCTTCCGTGTTCCTCAGCAGCAGCGGTGAAGAACTAATCACTCAAACGCGCGTCACTCCCTCGCACACACGGCATTTTTAAGGAAATTGCCAGACATGGAGTTTGCTGCCAAAATGGCCCCAGGTGTGACATGCAGATTTATTTTCATTGTAACGTCCAGTTCTGGTGATGATGGGGCAGACAGCCCTCTGCGTGGGCAGCAGGCACAGCTGAACCTCAGGCAACAGGCCACAGCCCCAGGCAGAGGACCGTGCGTGAACAGGCCGCCCACAGGGCCTGAATGCTGGAAATGCAGCTTGATCTCTGGGATGCAGGGCTTTACACCTCCCGCTCCCAGAATATAGAAACTGGCTCATGCCAGGTGTGGCCAGACGTGGGCACAGGGGAGTCCTAGGGTGGCTCGTGGAGCACAAACTGTGCAGCCTTCGGCCCAGCCCTGAGAGGTGGGGATGCCAGGGCCGGGCAAGTCCTCTCCAGGCTCCAGACCCCAAGGACCCCTCCCACAGCCACACAGGGCACACACTAGGAAGTGACCACGGCTTGTGTCCCTCACCTGGGGAGGGTCAGGCAGAGCACACCGGGTGCCCACCATAGCACCCATAGTAGCTAAACCGCCCCACAGCAAGGGTGGTCTTGGAGACGCCATGTGGGAATGGGACATAGCGCTAGCACCCCAGTTGGAAGTGAAATCAAAGTCCAAACGAAATGACACACACTCCTCCAGAACAGCAGGGAAGAGACCAGGCCAGCAGGGACAGCTGTTCATGGCGGGGGAGGGGAGCGGAAGTTGGAGCTGAGAATGAGGATTCAAGGGACCGAGAAGAGGCATGACAAAAGTGAGGGGCCTTACGGTGACAGTGGTGGCCAAGTGCCAACAAGGAGGACGAACCCAACGCCGGGCTGAGGCCAAACAGAGAAACAAGGAAAGCAGCACACGGGCTTGGTGCTGAGGGGCGCCCGTGCCACCGAGAATCGGCGCTGTCCTGTGAGCTGACCTCTCTGATCCCACTTCCTCCCTGATAAAGAGGCACTGTGGCAGCCACGCCGCCGTGGCGCTCTCATGGCTGGTGGAGGGGATGCTCACAGTGTGGCTCAGCCTCAGCTGCAGTGCTTACCACTTCTGTGGTCCTTCCCTGCCCTTCGAAACATAGCTGCTTCTCAGCCACCCGTGGTGCAAGGGAAGAAAGGAAGGAGCAAGAATAAACCACTGAGCCTAATCCACTTCCCTGCTGTGTGGACCACAGTATTTTCTGCTGGCGTGCACTTGGAGAGAGCAAATGTCACCGAGTCTTAGTGAGAAGATGAGAGAAACAAGCGGTCTGAACAACACACAGCTCAGGGCGAATGCCTTCAGACAACCGTGACCAAAGTAAAACAGGAATCAGTAATGGCCGTGAAAGGCGCTCCAAAAACACTTGCCAAAGTGTAAAGTAAATCTCTGGGTATTCTGCGGTCATAGCTTGCCATGCTGTTCGCTTAGCATCAGTCAGTTTCTGTCGAGTTAGAATAGTGTTGTGTTTGTCCTTCTTTTGAACCAGGATTATACATGGCAAGTCCAGAGCCTGGAGCGTCCCCCAGTGTTCCCACTGCTGGCCTAGTGGGTTCCAGCTACAAGTGCTGAACCCTGTATGAGAAGTGAGGGTGAGGCCAGGCATGATGGTTCACACCTTTCATCCCAGCAAATTGGGAGGCTGAGGCGGGCGGATCACCTGAGGCCCAGAGTTCGAGACCAGCCTGGCCAACATGGTGAAACCCTGTCTCTGCTAAAAATACAAAAATTAGCCAGTCGTGGTGGTGTGCACCTGTAGTCCCAGCTATTTGGGAGGGTGAGATAGGAGAATCGCTTGAACCCGGGAGGCAGAGGTTGCAGTGAGCTAAGATCATGCCACTGCACTCCAGATGTAGTCTCCAGAGTGAGACTACATCTCAAAAAAAAAAAAAAAAAAAGGAAAAAGAAGTGAGGGTGGGGACCTTTACAGCAAAGGGTAAGACTCCCAGGAATGCACGCTGACTCCACAGGCTCTCCTCTTAATTTTAAGACCATTGTCAGTCAGAGAGCTCAGGCCTGAACCAAAAGCCATTTTTGTGGAAAATGATACACACACAACACTCACCACACGTGCACATCACACTGACACGGTACCACACATACTCACCACACGTGCACATCACACTGACACGGTACCACACACATTCACCACACATGCATCGGAAGTGACTGCTTAATGTTTACAATGGTCTCCGGGAAGTTTTTCAGAAGTCTGGTTCTGAAAACACGCACTGCGGCACGCGTGGAGCAGCGGAACCTAGACCCACTCTCCCCCGTGAAACAGCTAAAAATACGCAAATACGTGAAACAAAAGGTTTCAGCCCCTGGTCTTTGGCGGCGTGGTGCGGTGCTCCCTGAGTACGTGAAGCACACAGGTTGAGACCTAGAGCTGCCAGAGCTCATGACCGGGAGAGAGTTTCCAGGATGCAGCATGGGGAAATAATCCAGGCAGAACCACAGTTTCCTGCAGCTGAGGAAACAAAGCTGAGAGCCTGCAAGGCAAGGATGGCCAGAAATCACGGGACACAGTCCAGAGAGAAAGGAGCTGTACTTACAGATTCCAAAAGTCCACGAAGGTCCTGCTCCGGGATCTGGGTGTGTATGGATCGGCACAGGTGTGAGAGGCAAACGCGCAAGGCCAGGGAAAGACGGTCAGAAAAGAGAAGAAGGCATGACCTCTGGAGCTCCTGCAAAGCCAGGAATGCTAGCTGCTCCCACCAGTCGGAGCGAAGATCTCATGGCCCCTGTGACGAGGAGTGGAGCACTTGACAGACTTTGCCTCAGTAGGGACACAGCCTCCTGCTGGGCTGAAAACTGTTCTGACCTTGCTGGGAAGTTCAGAGGGAGCCATGGGAGAAACCAAGTGTTTCCATGTAACTTAATTGCATTCCAGAACAAGCTCAGGAATATTTTTTGGAAGACAGAAATGCCAGTTATTTGACAAAGTAAACCCATAGTGTCTGGCATCCAATCCAGAATTAGTAGGCATGCATTAAAAAAATGTAACCCAAAATGAGGATATAAATTAATCCATAGAAACAGATCTAGAAATGGCAAAGAAGGTAGATTTAGTAGAAAAGGACATAAAAACAATTATTATAACTATATTTTTATGTTCAAAATGGTAAAGCAAAGAGTGGATATTGGGAGGGGACACATTGAAGATTCAAAAAGAACCCAAATTAAACTCTAGAGACGAAAACGAGGTGAAGAGTGCACTGGACGGGACACCTGCAGGTCAGAACTGAAGGAGAAAAGATGAGGGAACTTGAAGGCACAGCAATGGCAACAGAGACTGCACAAAATAAAACACACAGAAAAAGTACCTGTAAATGAACAGACTATCAGTCAGCTACGGGAAGGCATAAAGTACCCTAATATGTCTGTAATTAAGGTCCTCAAAGTTGAAGAGATCTTAATTGCACACATATTGGAGCACTTTAAGTTGTAAAACAAGGATTTGAACAAGGTAAACCCACAAATCCAAGAATCTCAATAAACCCCAAGCACAAGAAATATTAAGAAAACAACACCAAGTCACATTATAATCAAACTGCTCAAAACTTGTGTTAAAGAGAAATTTCTAAGAACCAGCCAGAGGGAGGGAGAACTTCACATACAAAGGAACGATGAAGAAAAGGATGAGGACAGATTTCTGGTTGGAAACGATGCCAGTAGGAGACCATGGCACCTCTTTAAAGTCGCGAGAGGTTTTTAAAAAGTGTTAGAATTCTAACCCCGAGAAACGCATCTTTTAAAAATGCGGGTGAAACAGACTTTTTTATACATCCGAAGACTGAAAAACATCATCCACAGTGGACAAATGTCATATGAAATGTCAAATGCAGTCCTCAGACAGAAGGAGAATCTGAGTCTGCACAAAGGAATAAGAAGTACTGGAAATGGAAAATATATGGATACATATTAAAAGCTTACTTTTAAAATCTCTTTAAAAGATAAACAATTTCCTAAAACAAAAAGAAAAAACTTAATGATGTACTGTGAGGTTTAAAAATGTGTGAGGCTGGCCAGGTACAGTGGCTCACGCTTGTGATCCCAGGACTTTGGGAGGCTGAGGTGGGCAGGCTTGAGCTCAGGAGCTCAAGACAAGCCTGATCAATATAGTGAAACCCCATTTCTACAAAAAATACCAAAAATTAGCTGGGCATGGTGGCATATGCCATAGTTCCAGCTACTTGGGAGGTTAAGGTGGGAGAATCTCTTGTGCCAGGAGGTCAGGGTGGCAGTGAGCCATGATTGTGCCATTGCACCACACTCCAGCCTGGATGACGGTGTAACAAAGACCTTGTCTCAAAAATAAGTAAAAAGTGTGAGAGGTTTTAAAATGTTTGACAACAGCAAAAAAGCTGTGAGGGAGAGTGAAAATACGCTATTGTAATATAACATTACTGTGTTCATTAAAGAAGTATGCTCTTTATCTTAAAACTGCAAATAAAAGAAAAAACAAGAATTATAGCTAATAAGCCAACAAGGAATATAAGTGAAATTAAAAACACAATGCAAAAGAAGGCAGAAAAAGGAAAAAATAACAGATGGAACAAATACAAGGTGAATAGTAAGATGTAGATTTAAACTCAATCATATTAATAATCATAATTATGTTCTAATGGCCCAAACATTTCAACTGGGGCAGAAATTATATAATTAGATAAGAAAGCCAGACTCAACCTTATGTTGCTGACAGGGGAAAACATTTTAAGTATAAATATACAAATTGGTTTAAAATAGAAAGATGGAAAAATAAATACCATCACACTATTCAAAAGACAGCCAGAGTGGCTATTACAATATCAAAGTAGATATCAGATAAGAACATTGTAAGAAATAAAGAGGATTATTTTATAATAATAAAAGGATCAATTCATCAAGAGAACTTAACCCTAACCATGTACACACCTAATAGTAAAGCTTCAAAATACAAGAAGCAAAAACAGCTAGAAAGTAAGGAGAAGTGGACAAATCAACAATTACAGTCATAGATTTCAACACCCTATTTCAATAACTGATAGAACAAACTGACAGACACCCTATTAAAGGCAGACAACACTTGAATGATACTATCAGTCAAATTAATATTTATCAATCATGTCACCCAACAACAGGAGAATACACATTATTTTCATCTGCAGACAATTTACCAAAATAGGCTGTATTCTGGGTCATAAAACAATTCCCAATAAATTTGAAGGATTCATTGCATCAGAGTATGTTCTCTGGAACATTGGAAATATATCAGCTATTAATATTAATATGTCAGCTATTAATATTAATACAAAGATTTCTGAATAATCTCCAAATATTTAGACTGAAAACAGATATCTAAATAACCCACCAGTCAAAGAAATGATGAACAGGGAAATCAGAAAGTATTTTAAACTGATTGAAGATGAAAGCAAAATTTGAGATTCTTTTTCTGCCTTCTCTGGTTTTAACTGAGCATCTTAAATGATTATATATATATTCCATCTTATATGTTTCTTCTCTTTACATATCAATTTTTCTTAAAAAAATTTAAGTTATGTCTGGGCACAGTGGTTCACACCTGTAATCCTAGCACTTAGGGAGGCCGAGGTGGGTGGATTGCCTGAGCTCAGGAGTTTGAGACCAGCCGAGGCCACACGGTGAAACCCTGTCTCTACTACACTACAAAAAATTAGCCGGGCGTAGCAGTGTGTGCCCGCAATCCCGGCTACTCGGGAGGCTGAGGCAGGAGAATTGCAAGAACCTGGGAAGCGGAGGTTGCAGTGAGGCGAGATGGTGCCACTGCACTCCAGCCTGGGTGACAGAGCAAGGCTCCGTCTCAGAAAAAAAAATGTAAGTTGTTTTCCTACAGTTTGCAATATACACTTAGAACGAATCTAAGTCCACTCTCACATAACGCTGTGTTGCTCCACACCCACTACAAGTACCTTCAACAGAATATTCCTGATCTCTCCCATCCCTTACCACATTGCTGCCATCTGTTTTCTTACCTATATGCTGTAATCACCCAATATCGTTACAATTATTACTTTCAATAAATAGCTGTATTTTAGATCAACTGAGAATAAGGGGGAAAGGATTTTATATTTATTCATTCTCAAACACTTAGTTTCTTTATGTAGATTCAAGTTTCTGGCCTATATAATTTCCTTCTTCCTAAAGAACTTCTTTTAATGTTTCTTATAGAGAATGTCTGCTGGTGATTAATTCTCTCCATTTTTATTTGTCTGAGAAAGTTTTTATTTTTCCCTCACACTGAAGAATAATTTTACTGGATACAGAACTCTAAGTTGGTGGGTTTTTTTCTTTCAACGCTTTAAATATTTCACCCTGCTCTGTCCTTGGTTGAATGTAGATGCAAAAATTCCCAACTTAAATGTTAGCAAATTATGCCCAACAACATATAGAAAAGAAATTACATCGTGACCTATTGGTGTTTATGCCAAGAGTGTGAGGTTGGTTTAACAGTGGAGAATCAATCAACGGAATTCACCACAATAGACATAAAGGAAAACCGTATGGTCGATAGATACAGAAACACATTCCTGATAAATCTTAAATGCAGAAGGTTCAGTGAGAGAAGTCATGCTGAAAACACCTCATGCTGTATAGCCCCAGTGATGTGACTTTCTGGAGAAGCAAGACCATTACACTGGTGAAAGGATCAGTGCTTGTCATGAATTTGGGGGACTGAATAGGAAAGCACAGGAGATGATTTAGGGCAGTTAAAGTATTCTGTGTGATAGTGTATTGGTGGATATGTGATCTTATAAACATCAAAAACCTGTGAAACTTTACAGTAAAAAGAGTACGCCTCATTGCACGCAAATTTAAAAATCATTTAGGAAGTTCAGGGACATCAGGATAGAATCCAGAAAGTGAAAAAACCATCTAACTGCATTACAAATGCATGAAACATCCTCACGGAGGGAGTAGGGAAAAGGCCCTGACCTCATTCAGAATGAGTGGAGTCTGCAGGAGTAAAGGCGAGGGGGCAGTGCCTGAGCGCTGGACTCTAGTAGATAAAGCTGCCTGCCGGCGAGGTGTCAGTTAGCAGTTCTAACACTACCATAATGTTGTCTTCGTCTGTTCTCGGTTGCTGTAACCGAATGCCTAAGACCAGGTACTTTATAAAGAAATCCATTTCTCAGCATTCTGGAAGCTGGGAGGTCCGAGTTCAGGGGGCTGCATCTGGTGAGGGCCTTTTTGCTGCTGGGGACTCTCTGGAGAGTCCCAGGTGGTACAGGCCATCAGATGGTGAAGAGGCTTACAAGAGTTGCCAAACTCACTTTTACAGCAGACCCATTCTTGTGAGAACGAACCCACTCCCTGCACGACCCATTAATCCATGAATCAATTAATCCAATCACCTCCCAAAGTTCCTGCCTCTCAACACTGCTTCACTTGGGGCCAAGATTCAACATATGAACCTTTGGGGAACACATTCAAACCATAGCACATATATACTGAAATTGAGCAATCACATACATGGATAGCAGATGGTAGGGGGCAGGTTTCTCACTATTAGGAGGTCACAGACGCAAGAGGAGGCAGCTGGGATGACTCCACGGAGCCAGGTTTGAGTGGGAGACCTTGGTATGAACTGATGTTTAGTCTAATATGGATTTCGATGGTTACCTAGGGAAGTATTTTAGATGTACATGTATACATGGGTTCAACAGTGTGTGCTGCCTGAGTCCATCTTTTTTTTTTACTTTATTTGAGACTGAGTCTCACTCTGTCTCCCAGGCTGGAGTGCGATAGTGCGATCTCGGCTCATTGCAACCTCCACCTCCTGGGTTCAAGT